GTAAAATATATGAATTATTGTTTGATCATCTATGATGTAATTGCTAGAATATGAATATTTAAATTTAAATTTCTGTGACAGAAAAAAGGGAGTAGAAAACAAAAGTCAAATACAAAACTTTGGGTCATGTTCCACTTTTCAGGTAAATATTTGTCAGGAACTCAGGAGAGAAAAATCTTGCATGTATTTAAAATGTCATATGAGATATTTGGAAGCATATTTTGTGTTGCTTTTAAAGTGTAGATTTATGTGAAGTGCATGATTATAAAAGACAATGGGTTATTATTTTGAAGGATACAATGTCAAGATTTTTTAGGAATCAAGGAATGTATATAATGTGCATATTTGTGTTGACGCAAATATTTGGTGTACAGGTTATTTTAAAGCAGATGCTATTTTGGTTTTGAGACAAAATTTCAAAGAGTTTATACAAGACGATAAAAATTGTATTATGGGCATTAATAGTGCTTAGTGAAGGCAGAACTGTACACACTTGACTATTTTGAAGACGTTAATGTTTTTATAGCAAATGAGTTCGTTGTATATAATTAGAGGTGAAATAATTTTGCTATGTTCAGATTTAGTGTCAGGATATTTACATTTGGAAAGTTCTTTTATAGAAATGGCAGTGTTTGATAGCATGATTTGAACAAATCGTGTCATTTGCTTTGTTGTTACATAGCTACTGTACATATAAAACGACACTTTGCATGCTTAGTTTGCACGAAAGAAATGCTTTACTGCATTCGTTAGAAGGGACATGACATTCGATTGTGTTGTTTATTTGTACAAATTCTGAAAGAGACAGAAAATAACAAAAGTCCAAAATTATTGCGAACATTGTTAAAAAGGGATTCAACTCAGTGACAAGAGTTTGAATCAAGACTAGTCATCTGATGACATGTTTCGATAAGGAGAGTTGTTTGATAGTCTTAGTCCACAGTATACTTCTGAATTCAGTGGAACTTGAAAGTGTACACCCTAAAATAAGAGGTAGTGGTTAATCTAGTTCTTAACCATTTAAATCTTTGTTGCGATATTGTGGCTCTCATTGTCATTGTTTTTATTGTAGTTTGAGTAGAATTTAGAGTTGGACAGATTTACGACCAAAGCATATTATTGTTACCAAGATTCTATTGATAGCTAAGGCCTGATTTCATTGTGCATGCATGTCTTTATTATATCGGTGCAAAACCAAATTCAGTTTATCTGTGCTATGTATTGGAGTCAACAGTACTTGCCTTTTTTAAGATAGGGCTGCATTGCAGCATTCCAGAGTGTTTTCTTAAGGTGCCAACATCATTTATAGTGAGTTTACAAGTTACTAACCTATGCAAAAATCTTTCATTTTGTGACACAAGCGGGCTTTCTTGTCCAAAGATAGTAAAAAGAGCCACAAGAGGTTGGTTTTTGTTTGACAAACTGATAATAATCAGGAGTATAGACATTCATAAGCTAGTTAAAGGTTAAATTGTCATTGGTATTTTCTAAATGATGGCATTGAGGTGTTTTTTGTGTCATGTAGGTGTTGTGGCATGTTAGAGCCACAGTTATGCATATTTTATTGCATTGAGTTACGTGTATATAGTTTGACTTTGAAAAGGTTTTGAGTTTTTATTAGCAGGAACTTTTGAAAATAATACAGGAATAAGATTTAATCAGAATGATTCGAGAAAGCCATATGGTTATTATTGTTTTTTGGAAGTATAAGAAAAGGTGTAATTTTCTGTCGGCTTGCCTCTGAAAATTAAGGGGCCGGAAATGTAGATGCCAAACTAATGCAAGAGCGCCATCTCTTGTCGGTTTTAAAATTTAATAAGTTTGAGGGGAGGAAAAGCGCGAATAATCACTGGCAGTAACCCTTGGAAACAAGACAGAATTTTAACCTCTTCTCCCTACTTCATATTTCCGTTTTATGATCTTGTTTGGTTTTGGACAACAATTGGAATGGATGCAATCATTGTATAATAACATTGTGATCGACCCGACGTGAGTAACGTGAAATGTGGTTATAGTAAAGGCTTCAAAATTAAAGTTTTCGAGACATTATATTGGTATTCGACAATTGATTTCTACACTTGCAATTGCAATTCTACAGTACGGTACGTGGATTGACGATGTACGTGTGAATAGTGTCAGATTGCGAGATATTAAAGGACGGAACGGAGCTGAGAGGAGCGTTGAAACTATAATAAGGTGAACTTGGGTTCTTGGCCAGTCAAAGGTGATCGTGAACAACAAGGGACCAGTGCAGTACCAGTCTGATAAATGAGAATATGACTAGAGAGGTCTATGAATAGAGCATGATCACTAGTTGTGGGTGTATTTTGAGTCGAAAGAATGACGTGATTGGACAGAATACAGTCAGAGAATTAATGTCGAGGTCTAAGCCTAGACCTCCAGACCTAGTCTAAAAACGGAGAACTAAAGACAGACTATCTGACTACTTCAAGGTCATTTTGCACCCACAATCTGATAATTTGATCTGAAGATTGTCATTACTTTTATTCTGTTATCAAGGAAATAATGCTTTATTTGAATTATGAAGTGCATGTATTAAATAACTGGAAGTCAGGCTTCAAGTTTGATTCTGTTTGTATTGTCATGAAACTAATGCATCTGTGTGTATCATGAAATGTATGAAATAAATGGAAGAAGTTAAAAAAATTACAAACATTTCATTAACACATTTCTTTTCTTCATCACCAAATCGTTTTTTTTTTTAAAGTCAAATCAGCTCAGAACTGGTTGTAACTTTACATTCGGGTTAAGCTATGGTCACAAATCAGAGCAGCGACCGACCGATCAGTAGCCTGCTCAGTCGCTGCTGGAATTTAGGCATCGCCCAGGCACCTAGCGTATTTTGGGCGGCGAGTGAAAAGTGAGCAGGCGCCGCCCAAATTTTAACTCCACGCTAAAACTTCAGCGGCGACCGAGCGATGCCCTAAAAACGAGCAGTGCCTGGGCGGCCACCGGGCAGAACTGGTTAAAAACTCGCCGCTCGGCCGCCGAGCAGGCTACTTTTGGGTAATGTGACCATAACATTACTTAGGGCTTATAAGGCCTTAAATAAAAACTTGTTGTATTGCCCTTTGCAACCGACCCAAAAATCAGAAAATCTATGGTCGGCATTTTAAAAAAGTTTTTTTTTTTTTAACCGTTTTTTTTAGATTTCTTTTTATTAATGAATAAAAATATATATATTTTGTTTGTTTAAATGGGATATAAATGCATGAAATCAAATTATTCCAAATTCTCACTCGTGCAAACTTTGGATAATTAGGAGGTGAAAAATATATCAATGGAATGATGACGCTGAAGCACATGTATTAAAGCATTAAAAACTGAGAAATATCAGCTAAAAGAGGGCGGGAAAAAGTTTTTTTAAAAATCCGAATCTGAAAATATCGGCCCAAAGAGGGCGACAAAAAAAAGTTTTAAAAAAAACAAAAATTCGGACCGACCAACCCATGTTTTGGCACACAAAGGGCAATACAACAAGTTTTTATTTTAGGCCTAATGGTAATGACACAAATTAAATTTGCTATGAACATATATAGCTGCATTACCAAGACTTGCTTTTAAGTGTCAATAGCATCAACAATGATGTCAGATTAGGTAGTGGAGCCCAATAAATTATAACCTTTGATCTAGAGTGTGGGAATATTATCTGTTTGATGTTTGGGAAGATGCCATCTATATTTTTTGAGTGTGATCACTTGCAGCTAATATGTCTTTCTCTCTTCATTGAACTCGTATTCAGTACCTTTTTCACAAATCTCAATTTATCAGGGGTGGTATTCTGAAAGCTCTCTTCCATTTAATTAGCGCTTAATTAGCAATTCGGTATTCTAAAATCTCACTTTATTTTTTAGTTGGCAAGAGATTCATTGCATGTACTGCTATAATGCATGCCTGTAGTGTGCTTGCAGAAGAGATGATTAGTTTTGGTATTCTGAAAACTGTTAGCAGTTAATTAACTACAAAAAGATAAAAAATTATCTTTACTTTAATCAAGAAAGTCAAATTATGGCATGTCCTTCTGAATTTTAAAGTGGCTCGTGCAGGCTGCTGTTCACCACACATTTTCCTATGTTAAAGTTGAAGTGCATAAACACCTCTTTTCTCTGTAACAAAGCATTTCATTGGTGGAGATGGGACATAATGACAGTACATTTGTGAGGATGACATATTTGAGTAAATGAGAGTTTTCTCATACGTTTTTTATATGACAAAGCAGTCTCATACTCAGTGTTTGTTTGTTTTTCTTGAGCTTTTAGAATATTGCCCCTGGCTTTGATCCCCAGTCTCCATGTGTTATCTCTCATTCCATTTGAGGCCCGCCATCACTCTCACTTCCTACTTCATCATCATTCTCTGTCTTCCAACTTTCATCAATGCTCTCTGCATTCCTACTTTCATAATCTCTCTCTATTTTCTTCATCACCCCGTCTTGCTACTTTCATCATCACTCTCCGTCTCCCTACTTTCCTCATCTTTCTGTCATCTTACTTTCACTACTCCCTACTTGCATCATTACCATCTATTTTCTTCATTGCCCCTTTCTTTCTTATCTTCTACTTTCATCATTCTCCATCTTCACAATGTCTTCCTACTTTTATCATTTTCTATATTCCTACTTTCATTATCACTCTTTGTATTTCTTCTTCCAACACTTTCTGTCTTCCTAATTCCATCACCGCTGTTTTCCTCCTTTATTAATCACTAATCAAATGTTCTGTAGTACATGTATGTACCTTCTACCACTCAATTCAGCATCATCAAGCTTTCTCTTTCTCTCTCTATCCTATCTTTCCACCCATATTTTATTGTATTTCTTCTTTATCTATCAATCATTCAATACCCAACCCATCCATTATGTGATCCTCCACTTCACTTCACCGTCTGCATTTTTTAAAAGGAAAACTTGATCTATCTTTACCCAATAAAATTAAACCTAATCATTGAGCGTCACACACAAAATTTAGCATGACACAATATTTGTGATTTATAAATTTAATGCAACATTTGCACATATAACTTCCACAGCAATGAAGAACTGTTATTATTACAATACATCTTCTAATTACAAAAACAGCTTTATTTCATGAAAACTGACGGGTCAGGAAAACAGTTCCATATCAAAGGAGAATAGTTGTTGTAGTAGCAGTTTCCACGAACTTCTGAATAACTGTAGCTGATAGTGACTTCTTTGTGAATAGGTGATGCGATGCCCTCTTTCTTTCTTGTTGCCGACGCGGAACTTCCCAGCTGGTGTGTTGGAAATGAAGGCTGGGTCATTTTTTTGTATATTTAGAAATGAGAAGAGTTGTTTCCCTGACCAATCATTGACTAAGACTAATGACCTGAAGAGAAATAGAAAACGAGGGAATACAGAGATGAGATAAAATTACAATATTTATTTGCCATAGGAAGGGTGTGGGTGTTGTTATAGAAGATTTTGCTTCATTCACTTGATGTGTTAATGCCTGAAATTATTCATGTATTTTCATTAAAAATATATCATATTCAAACAAAGCAGATAAACCAGATCCACATTTGAAAAACTTTGAATGCTAAAGAGTCGTAAGACATTTAGTTGAATTCTCAGAATTGGTGCATAATACTCCACATTTCCATATTGTAGACACATGTTGTTTCAGGTATTAAAGACACCAACACTTTCATATAAAAAATATCCCACCCAAATACGAGAATCATCTTCAACAAATATTTGTTGTTGAGATATCATAATTGCTTCCCTCCCCTACCCCCCTCCCCCTCCCCCAAAGGAGAATCAAATCAATCACTTTTCTTGAATTTTAAATGTTCATGAGAAGTAGAATAGTTACCTGATTTACCTCCCGCTGCTGCTTCTGCTTTCTTTGCTCTCACTGTAGGAACACAAAGTAACACAGAAAGAGATAATATATTAGCAAATATACAATTTCATCACTTAAGACTTGATTTCAACTTAGACAACTGATTATTGCAGGATCGCATATTCCAACATAATCATTTGAATCAAATTCATGACCCCATACCAAAACTTTGTATTACCTTTAATATGAGAATTAATAAATCAAATGTTGTTATTAATTCATATTTCATGAAAGTTATCAATCTTGGTACAAATACATGTAATAGTAAATAGTTCTTCTGATAATTCTTAGACAATATTCACTTCAAAATGCTGATTATATTCAGAGGATTTCATGTTTTGGGGCCTGCTAATGGGCCACCCTGCCTACGAATAATGTCCCAACTTCAATTTTTCATCATATCGAATTGCGTAATGCAGGCACAACCGCCGAGAGAGTTTCCCTTGTTTTAATATAAGATTTGCAAGTAGGGTAAAATGTCAGTTGTCACTCTTCTGGTCAGACTGCTATGGATGTGAAATGTTTGGTTATCTTTTAACCCCTTGGCAACTGAAATCTCTCAACTCCATAGGCTTAATACAGGGACCATATGATTTATGTAGGCAAAGGGGTTAATGATTAAACAACATGTGGTGTGTTTTTTTATTAGAGGTATTAGAGAATGAAAATAAAAATTAGAATGTAGGGGAAGATAAGACCAAGAATCACACACTATTATGAAGAGAAAGAAAACAGGATTTACTTACGTCCTGCTAATGAAGCTTTTGCCATGACAACACCTGTAATCAACACGCAAGGTACCAAAAAAGGTCCCCAATGTCTTATCTGAGGTCCCAAGACCTTCATGGGTTGAGCTGGCCAAGCACTGTTAGGCATTGTGATGAATTCTGTGATGAAAATAAAAAGAACATGTCAAAGCACATTCGACTCAGAAACTTTTCAACGTGCCTGACAAGTTACTGTTTGTTATTCTTTTTAATGATAGAAGGTAAGAAAGCTATGATTCCTACTTACAATATCTTGAAGCTCTATTTTTAAGATGAAAAAATAAATGATATTACTATTTTTTAAGCATTAGTTTTGTGTATGAAGGGGTGACCAAAGTTCGCGGACATTTTAGAACACATTACAAAATGTGATAGTCGATCTATGATTTCTCATATTCTACACAAATTTATTTATTTCAATTATTACCGAATGGACGGCAAAGTTTTTTGTTACAGATTGGTTCAACTAAAAAAAATTATTGTGGAAGGATTTCAGAGATATCGCGATCTAAAAATTTGATGTCCGATCGTGCGTGCGTGCTGAATCTAAAAAAGTCATAAAAACAACGAGACCTAACTTCACGCACGGGGGTCTACAGTTGATTTATCAAAAAATGTGATGCATCAAAAATAAGGTAATATCATAATTTGCAAGGTAAGACATCATGCAATCAGTTGGTACCACTTTTTACTTACAATTTTGAGGAAATCTGCTCTCAAATTGAAGATTTTCAGACCCTTATCGGTAAATTGATAATTTTTCGGAACGGACGCAAAAGGTTGCAAAATTTGCTGATCTTTTGTCAATATTTTCACAATTTCGTACACAATTCCAAAGAGAATTCATATCTGGGTAATTTTATGTTCCTCTTTCCATTGGTGATATCCGATTTTCAAAATCTTACTGATTTTTTGAGATAGCGAACTTAGGTCACGCCCCGGCCCCCCCACTCGGTGTTATTTAGGGTACGCATATGCTCGTACCCTCTTTTTGAAAGCACCCCCTATCTGAGGACTGCCAACATTTCCGAACCCCCCTTTCGCATCTCCTTTTACGAGTTACCCCTCTTTCTTGGTTTTTATTTTTTAGGTCACAATTTGTCCGTGTTTACGAGGGTATCCTCATTTTGCGGACGATCCTCATTCTCGGACCAGCACCCCTACTGTTAATGCTAGCCTTAAGGGCTCTCTCGAAATGTTTTTTTAATGATATTATTCGAGAGAGCCTTAAACGGCTCCCATACCCCTGCACGGAGAGGCATGTAAACAAAACTCAAAAGTGGTCCAAAATCACACTTTCGCGCACCCGACCAATATTGGACAGTGGCTTTGATAAATTTTGTCGTAGTTTTGGTCTTAATTACCGCTTTAATTTCAAAATCGGATCTAAAAATAACAAAATAAGAGCAATTTTCTTACCAGACCGATACAGCTCAGCTCCCTTTTCACGTGTACCGTGTGAATTCACGATGTCTACACAATGGTGATGACCTCTGACTGGCACTTCGTAAATGTGCTGCTTCCGTATAATGCGCTGAATAACACTCATACAGCGCATTATACGGAAGCAGCACAATTTACCCACAATTACGGAAGTGCCAGTCAGAGGTCATCACCATTGTGTAGACATCGTGAATTCACACGGTACACGTGAAAAGGGAGCTGAGCTGTATCGGTCTGGTAAGAAAATTGCTCTTATTTTGTTATTTTTAGATCCGATTTTGAAATTAAAGCGGTAATTAAGACCAAAACTACGACAAAATTTATCAAAGCCACTGTCCAATATTGGTCGGGTGCGCGAAAGTGTGATTTTGGACCACTTTTGAGTTTTGTTTACATGCCTCTCCGTGCAGGGGTATGGGAGCCGTTTAAGGCTCTCTCGAATAATATCATTAAAAAAACATTTTGAGAGAGCCCTTAAGGCTAGTTAATGCAGGGGGATGGGTGCCGATGATTATTTGAAGGCTAGGTGATACCTAAATCATTCATAGATCTATTTCATATTGTCACCGAGCCACCCCCCCCCCCCCCCCCCCCCGGCCCCCCCACTCAGAGGTCGGAATGACCGCATGCGTGTTGCCAAAATGTCCGGTAAAGGGGTACTTTTCGTGCGACAAAGTCCGGCCCGAGAATTGTAAAAAAAGGGGTGTATTTGACTTTTCACCCGGAGATTTCTTTAAAAAGGGGTGTTTTTCTTTTTTTCTCTTATCTCTTTGGACTCCTGAGAAATTATTCCGAATTTAGGGGGGTATATTGAACATTTTTCCTGATTTAGGGGGGTCTCCAAGGCAGGAAAAGCCCGCGAAAAGCCCGCGAAAGGGGGGTTCAGAAATATTGGCAGTCCTCAGATAGGGGGTGCTTTCAAAAAGAGGGTACGAGCATATGCGTACCCTAAATAACACTGAGTGGGGGGGCCGGGCCCCCCCCCCCCTCCCCCCTGTATTCTAGGCTGTACTGTATTATAGGCTTAGCTGTGGCTACACTACACTACTCACTCACTACTCACTAGGTTCACTGCCATGCATTGATGATTGGGGGTAAATTAGATTTAGCATGTTCTAAAAGACCTGAAATAGGTCCTCAATTTCGCGAAACATGTTATTCATATCTATTATTTCTAAATCTATTATGTTTACAAATATAGTTTTTAAGAACAAAAACTACAATTTCTTACTTTCAACTGAAATAAAAGAGCAAATAAAAGATAGTTACCAGGATTGACTCTTCCAAATTTGCAAATCTACAACAAGCTACAAGTATAGGATGTTTCAAGTCGTGGGTAATATTTTGAGGGAACTTGTACATTTAGCTTATGAACGTAGTCATTGGCATGAAACTAGAAAACGGCTGAATTAAGGCTGCAGTCAAATGTGTTCGTCACGCAAGTATATCTGTGCATGCCGTTGTGTAACAAGAAATCAATTCGTACGTACAATGTGTGCATCTATCAAAGATATTATAGCGCCGTAATGCTATGCACTTGCTCTCTTGCCCTAAATTACGCAATGCAATAAGATGAGCGCAGCATCCATGCATGTTAGCTAGAATTAAAGCGCAGCGCAAGCTCGATCAGAATCATCAGCGCATGCAGCAGCAAGCGCAGCCAGTGCTCCCCGAAAGTAGCGGCAACAAACTGTCTCTAGTTCCGAGCAATGAGCAGATGTACATGCTGCGTATACCAGCTACCCTACCCACTTCTAAAGTTCTTGCAGTAGGCCTAGATGTAGATTTTCTCCTACCATCTTATAGTTGTCTGGTGTGATATTAACTGATCTAGTCTAATCCTCATCTGGTTGACCGAAACAATGTGGCGTGCATTGCCATGGCGGTATGCTGCAGGAACTCAACGGCGATGGTCCAAAATATCCAAAAGACTGAAACATTTTGCCTCATGGAATGCAAATACAAGTGGCACAGTGGAAGCAGTCATTGGCCAGAGGCAAGTTTTTAAAGGTCCATTCTAGGCTTTTAGTAATACTAATAGTAATAGTAATACTAATAAGCAATTCTTTTGTAGAAAAACAAGGTGGTGAAACAGATTCCCCCCCCCCCCCCCCCCCCGCCTCCTCAAAATCAAGGAGTCCTTAACTTAAGGTTAGGCCTACTCCAACTCAAACACCAAGGTGTTTTTTTTCTTTTCCATGTATGTACTTCCATTATATATGTTGTTTGATGTCTTTACTACCTGTTTGCCATAAGGTCTACAAAAAAAAAGATGTTGTATCGCCATTTAGGTGCCAAAACATTAGTCAGTCGGCCGGAAATCTTTTTTTTAAAACTTTTTTTATTCACCGTCTTTGGGGTGATATTTCTCAGTTTTTTGGTCTACAAAAATAAAGATGTTGTATCGCCATTTAGGTGCCAAAACATTAGTCAGTCGGTTGGAAATCTTTTTTTTTAAACTTTTTTTATTCTCCGTCTTTGGGGTGATATTTCTCAGTTTTTTGCTGTATTGTCTTTATTTTTTAATCATAATTTTTTTTCTCTCTAAATAACGGTAAAAAAAAAAATATATATAAATAAAAAGCCGACAGCAGATTTCAAGATTTTGGGGTCGGTCGCAAAGGACAATACAACATCTTTTTTTTAAACGCCTAATGCACAATTCTACATTTGTCTTTGTTGAACCTCGGTTGCCATCTTTCAGACCATTTTCTCAGTCAGATTATCCAAGTCTAACAAAAGAATTGCCTATATCTGCATTTGGATCCATTCTGTTTCTGTTTGATCTGATTTAAACTGACTTCTTCATTGAATTCATCATCATTTTCTAATGAAATGCAATATGAACTAAAGTTTGTCCAACATATTGCTTATTCTCATAAATGGATTTTAAATAAAGAGTTTTTCAAATACGGATTTTTTTTTCTTCATTCAATTTCTTATAATGTAGTCCTCTTATACTGTCTACTGGAGAGTTAGCTAAGTTAGCTGATGGCTGTGCAACTGCTCAGGTAAGTGGAAAACTTAGAAAGCAAGATGAAGACAAAAATGGAATGGAATGACTGAACTTTATTTGTTGTTTCACTTTCAATTGGATCAACTAAATTTGTAAGCGCGGGATGTTTATTTGTCATTATACTGATCATATAGATTATTGTTGTCATATATATATATAGGTCTATATAGCAAGTATAATGATTCTATTGGGTATTTTTGTATTCCTGTGATGCTACTCTTGCTATACGTACGTGTATTCCAATAACAATTTTATTATAGAATAGACATTTTATGATACTGGGTACTACTAATGCAATGCTATAACAATTGACTTGCTTATGACTTGTTTTCAGATTGGAGATACCACTGTTATGGTCACTGCAGTCAGCAAGAAGAATTCATCATCTCCAGGTTTTCTTCCATTAACAGTGAGTGGTCTATTTAGGATTAAGTAATATATGCATTAAACCTGGAAAGTCATTGAAAATAAACTCTTCCGGAAAGTTATGGAAAGTCAAGGATAATATATTGTGGGTGTGGGCCGTGTGTGGCTTTGGTAGCCTTCCAGTTTGAACTGTCAATGGGGTGGTTTCGTTCCCCACTTGGATATTGCAACCCATATCAAAATGGTACTTATCTAGTCATGGAAAAAGGAAAAAGAGGGTCATGGAAAGTCATTGAGTTTGCTTCTCAAATTTATATGGTTCAAACCCTGTATAGGCTGTAAATGATCCACTCAAAATATTGCTTTTTAAAATGGTAATTTACAAAAGTACACCTAGAAACAATGAGTTACAATAAAGATATCTTGACAAACTCATTTATTTGGGTTTTTATAACTTCTCTTTTTCCATTATTGTTTAATATTTGAATGTACTTATGTATATTCTAGTGAAAGATTTTGCATGTTATTTACAGTACCTTTTGCAAATGTATGTGTTTTTTGTAAATGTGATTTTTATGGAAATAAATAAATAAATTGAAAATTAAACAATTGCATGGAATCGGTCATTTCAAAATATCATTTGCCCTTATTCAGTTCATCTTCTCTGCCTTTCTCCTCTCTCTCTCTCTCTCTCCCTCTCTCTCTCTCTCTCCCTCCCTCTCCCTCTCCCTCTCCCTCCCTCTGTGTTTACATCTCATCCAATTTGCATGTTTTTTTCCTAGGTTGATTACAGGCAGAAGGCTGCAGCAGCAGGTAGAATACCCACCAATCATCTCAGAAGAGAGAGAGGTGTCACTGATCAAGAGATACTCACAAGTAGAATGATAGGTATACCAAACATTATTATAAAAGATATAAAGATTTTCTATGATAAGATGTTTGAAGGATGATTGATAAGTGTAGATCTGATGCACATACATAGTGTGCAAAAGGCTGCAGTGGGATATTTTGCTCTTTTGGTACAAATATTATCATGTATTTGGCACTCTCTCAACTAATATGCCGGTTATGGACTAAATGAATAAATCTCTCATCTCAAATACACTCAAAGTATTTGAGAAGCTCAATTCAAACTATGTGAGTGCAAATTACAATGATATCTAGGAGGAAATATCCATGTCAAACTCCAGCTGTTGTTTAATATTGTAAAAACTCATGCATATTTTTTATATATAAATCTTTTGGAATTTATTTTCTGTAACATTATTATTTATTATTACCCCTATCAGACATCTGAGCTGGTCATTTACAAAACCGTATTGCCCTAGTTTTCACTAGCAGTATTTTCCTTGGTCTCCCTGCTCGTATAGACTTTGCGTGTAGAGACAAGTGAAAATATACCTTTGTATTTTTCCACAGTCTCGCATCCGGGCATCTTGTAATGACCGCACCATATTTTGTCATTTTCATTGCGCATCTATTATGCGTACGAGAACCTGCGCACTTTGCGCGCACTCTATTGTGACGTAATAATCACACCAAATGCACACTGCTTGCAGTGTATCAAAAATTTTGTCAAGCACTGGATGCACAGTGCTGGTTTGACAAAGTTTGTTCAGTTCTTTGAGATTGTCATGGTGGATTTCTGTATTTGCTCTAGATGTGTGATTTGGATAACAATAAAAATATTGACTGGCTTTACTTTCAGGGGATATCAGAAATATTGACCGCGCTAAGACCATATTGCCCTCGTCTTTTGACTCGGGGCAATATGATCTGAGCTTGGTCATTATTTCTGATATACCCCTCAAGGCCAGTCAATATTATATAAGTGTTTGCCATGTATAATACTTGAATATTAGTATATGTTTTCAAGAATGGATTGAATAATTTAATATTTAATATTTTATTGTTTTTTTCCTTTCTCCTAGACAGATCAATTAGACCACTATTTCCCAAAGGGTTCTTCTATGATACTCAGGTATGTGATACCAACAATATATTTCAAACTGCTTTGAACACATTGAAATATACTGTTGACAAATGAAATTAATTGAAAATACGTTGCTACTTTACATAATCTCTATCCTACCTGTTTCTAAAAGTGTCTTCTTCTTCGGACAACGATGTAAAATTTCTGTTTATTTCAATTTGGATGAATAAGATTAAATTGAATTGACCAATGCTAAAGGACATTTTGAATGTACCACATATGTTTCCATGGGTATTTTTGTTTTTTCTTTCTCCAGGTTATGTGCAATTTGTTAGCTGTAGATGGACTACAAGATCCAGGTGTTATCAGCATTAATGGAGGTAAAGTCAATAGCCAAATATGGCATTGTTTGCTGAATAGCCTTCATTGCTGTTTTGCATAGTTAAGCTTTTGGAATATACTGTTAGGATATAAAACTGTATAGATATATTGACCGCTTTGAGAGGCATCGCTATTGCTGTAGGCTCTAGGGGACGTTACATCCTGCAATAACCCTGAGGCTTGCTGGATGGCTAGATTTCTAAAGTGAGGTATGTAATACAGGTGTACACACTATGAATATGACTGACAAAGAAAGCGGACAAAATATACAGATCCTCAGGTAGACAAAGGAACATCCCTTCACTGCTATTATGTAAAAATGTGTAGAACAGGTGTCACATGCATATTCACCTTTTTACATAATAGCAGTGAAGGGATGTTCTTTTGTCTACCTGAGGAACTGTATATTTTGTCCGCTTTCTTTGTCGTCATGTTCATAGTGACATTATATTACCTCTCTAACAAGTTGGAAACGGTCAAAAAAAAACTCTTGATATTTACAAATCAGGCATTATCCCACCCTAAGCCTACAAATAGTTGACACATTGTAAAGATTTAACGTCCATTTCTCTTCTCACTTTGTCCCTCAGCTTCTGCCGCACTGGCCCTCTCTGACGTGCCATGGAATGGTCCAATAGGTGCTGTCAGGGTGGGTCTGATTGATGAGGAGGTCATGATTAACCCAACCAGACTCGATATGAGGAGAAGCACCATCAACATGGTCGTGGCAGGGACAAAGAAGAGTAATCTAGGTGAGGGCTGTGATCTCAGACTAATTTTCAAAAATTGCAAAGACCAGTTTATTAATATAATCAAATTTGGTATTTTGTGAACTAAAAGCTTGCCAAAGTTTTTGCATGACACATGTAAAATGGATTTAATCCATTAAGATCCCATACTCTTCCTATTGAAGGGGAATATATAAGGACTAGCAGGACCCGCGGAAATCCGCGGGATTCTAGAGGGGGGCGGGGGGTGTAAATAGATATATAGAGAGTGTTTAAATTAAAACCACCAAGAACTTTATTTGCCATTCAGGCCATCAAATAAAATAAACATGTTTAGCGTCCCCGCCCGCTTCCTTTTTGGGGGCCGCCTCCTATTTATTTATTTTTTGAAATTTTTTTGATTTTTTTTTTTGTTTTTTTGTCGTTTTTTTTAAAGAAAATAAAACAGTGTCCTGTCCGTTTCCTTTTTGGGGGCCGCCTCTTATTTTTTTTTTTTTTTTTTTTTTTTTTAATTTTTTTTTTTTAGTTTTTTTTTTTTAGTTTTTGAAAGAAAAAAATCATGAAAAGCACTGCTAAAATTATTTCTGATATTAAAAAAGAAAAAAAAAACAATTGTCGGCCGCCATCTTGAAAAAAAGCCCGAATGTCAGGGAAAATGTATGGAGCGGCCATTTTGAAAGAAGAAAAAAAAAAAGGGCCTCCTCATTCCCATTTTTCGAAAAAAACAGGACGCTAAACATGTTTTTTTTTAAATCTGGCCTTATATAAAAATTTAAAAAACGATCCAACTGTACCGGTAGTTATTCTTCAAGCCACTGGAACTGCGTAGAATTCCGTAGTGTGGCGTACCGACTACGCAGAAATTAGGCTACGTATTAATGAGAAAATAGTCCCTGCGTAGGTTATGCGTAGGCTGGCGTACAGGTTTGCTTATGGTTGCTTACTGTGTGGAAAGCTTTTACTGCTTTGTCGATCTGGCGTAGGGTAGCATACTGTTGCGTAGGCATGTAGCGTAGTGTTGCGTATGTAAAAAGGCGTACTTTCTACGTCAAGTTTCTACGCCGAAAGTACGCGAAAAAAATTAAACATGTTGAATTGTTTTCGTTCATCTTGCGTACCCAGTTCCGTCCCTCAGCATATAGTAATGTAGGCCAGCGTAGTTGGTACGCAACACTATGCAACTCTACGTATTGACCCCACGCCAATTAGTGACCCGCAAGTGTCACAAATAAAGTATTAAAAATATGCTCATCTGACCCTAATTAAACGCCTAAAACCCCTGAGCTTTCGGGGGTTTATGGACCCTTGAAACCCGTGGACCCCACGCCTATACACTCAACTCGCTGCAATCTGATCTCTCCCCCCCCCCCCCCCCCCCACCAACTTTGAAGAACGTAACCCCTGAGCTTTTTGGGGTTTATGGCCCCTTGAAACCCGGGGACCCCACGCCTATATTATATATACACTCAACTCAGGACCCGCGGAAATCGCGGGATTCTAGAGGGGGGCGCAGGCAGAAAATTAAGATTTTCATTTCGGGGGCTCTATTTCAAATTTTTGGAAAAATTTTCGTGGGCTACTTTTTTCAACTTTCGGGGGCTCTTTTTTCTGGGGTTACTTTTTCATTAATTCATCAAAGGATATAGGCCTTCACTTTGTTGAGATTTGTTTAGAAGGCTCAGGTTTCAGGCTACCTACTTCATAATTGCCTATTTAAAAAAAAAAAAAAAAATTCTAGTTCAATAACTAAGTTTTCATGCATTGATTTGATGCAAGAACTGTAACATAATATACCCTAGATTGTGATTATTTCTGACCATGAATTTCGATAATCATTCTTCAAAGTAAAATTTTCACAAGAAAATCAGGTAGTCGTTTAAAAACGTAGACATGAGTAATACTTTTACTAATTCTAAGCTCAGGTTTCGTAAATCTATTCACGAAACTATATTGAAATCGCGGCAATAATGATGCAAACCAACAGATAACAATTTCAAAGTGTCAAATCTCTTCGACTCGAGCTCAGCTCAGCTTAACTCACACACACTACAGCGTAACTCCATAGCTCGAACACCGGCGCCGCAGGCGTCGGACGCCTGCGGTGCTCGGTGCCGGTGTTGGAGCTTCCTGCAAGCTCGTCTCAACTCACACACACTGAACAGAAGCCCTGCACTGTATGAAGGCAGCTTGCGACTAAACTGTCAGTCCAATGGTTTTCTTGTGAAAACTTTCCTTTAGAAAATGATAATAAAAATTTAGTATAGGTCTAGACTATATGGCCGTAGTAATCACAAAATAAGCTTTGATTTCATACCTCCATTCACGAAAACTATATCAAAATCGCGGCAATCATGATGGAAATAGGTCTCTAAGTTTGGACGTGGACGGGATCGAAGCTTCGTGTGTATCTCTGCGGCTTGTGCAGCTACTACAAAGGATATCCTATACAAAGATGCTTTACTCGGGTAAGCCCGACCGTGTGCATCGTGCATTTAATACGCAACTTAATGTGAGTTGCTCGTCGTCTGTCGTGTGTCTACGGATGTAATGTTGAATATCCATGAGGTGTCTCTGTCGTCACGCATATCCTGCATTATGCATATCGCGTCTGTTTTCGCCCTGGACGTCGACACGGAGGAGGAACTCGGGCGGAGTATAGCCAATTCCACAGAGTAGACTCTCCCCCGGACGATGGCACCGGGCACCGGGACCCCGAGGGGAGGGTTCAGGAGGAGATAGCTGCACCAACTTGGGTCGGCGATCTCATTAAAAAACAATAGAATACAAAGGCTGGCGGAGACGTCGCGCCCCCCGCGGAGCCTTAGCGTATTATTATTATAGATGGTTTTAAGTAGTATGACAAGTACATTTAGTCTATGAAGATCCCATCCTCTTCCTGGTGTTTTGGGAAATTATAAGGATGGAATTGTGTATTTTAGGTGCTAAGGTTTGAATTCATGAAATGAAAAATAAACAGATTTGCAAATGTTGAAACAGAGATGTTTGGTACCAAAAAAAATTGCACAAAATTCACACAATATCTGTACATAATTTTAATAGTCCACCACTAGTCAAACCCTGAAAAATGTGTAGGTAATGGATGAAAAAGTAAACTTGTTGCATCTAGACTCCTATGTTTTAATTGGAGTATTGATAAACTATCCTTTGATAATAACAATTGGAAGAAGTAGACTCCTGACTGTAGAATTCTGACTGTAAAGTATGTCATAGATAAAGTCAAAGAACATTTGCAACTTGGAATGCATTTTTTTTAAAAATGTACATCCAATTATCCATTTGCACCCCTCTGCTGGGCACTACAAACTGACCTAATGCTGTTTGCATGTTATTTACAGTGATGGTGGAGGCCTCAGCAGACAATGTTCTCCAGACAGACTTCTTGAAAGCTTTAAAGGCTGGACTAAAAGAAACCCAGATCATTGTGAGGAGTATCGAAAAGCTCGCTAGGGAACATGGCAAGGAGAAGAGGGAGTATGAACCATTTGGTATACCATCGCCAGAGGTACTAGACAGTGTTAGAAGGTAGGTGATATAAGCTATGTGTTAGTTTTCCTGTTGATAATACATCCCAAAATTTTAGGGACTACTGACTAGTGACTACCTGTATAGAAAACAACTTGTCTACAAAGATTTCATGTTCTGTTCTTGAAGAATAGTGTTCTTGAAGAAAAGTGTTCCTGTTTGAAACCTGTATTTAATAATTTTATACGTACAGATGACCTGTGAAAAACACCTTCATTTTTCTTGTTCTTGTTTCTCTTGAAAGGTCATTTTATACAAGTTTGACCTGTAGTTTCTTGAGCTATGAATCACATAATACTTTTGAACAAATCAAAATCTGATATTAGTATTTGATGCATAGTAGATCTATGATACCAAACAAAATTGATTAATTTTTCCAGTTTGTACCCTAAATCTCTCCTTCATTTACAGATTAGCAGCTGAGCAATATCATGCAGTTTACACAGATCCTACCCACAATAAGGTATTATGTCTTATTAACTTTCTTATATAAATAATTGCATGCATTTGGTATTTTAGAATCGGTATGAAATGTAGTATCTTAGTTTTCAAAATTAATGAGATATTTGAAATTGACAGTGGTCATGTATTTATAACTAGCTAGTGAATTAATTTCTTGTTAATCTGTCTCATTTATGTTTCTTCCCTTTTCCTTATTTCTTTATCTTCTTTTTTTCTTTCTAAATTACAATTTCCAGACATATTTCAAGTATTATTTTTGCTATGAATTTATGATTGTCAAATTATGCATAATAATATATATTGATGTATTTTCTCTTCCAGTTTTCAAGAGACAATGCTGCAAGTCAAGTTAGAGAGCACCATATTTCAACTGTACGAGGTAAACACAGAGCTGTGTGTTCATGATATTGAAATTGTTTTTAGAATATGTGTATGTTTGTTGATTGACTTTATTTTAGTGTTGTTTAGCTATATCAGTCATGATTATTTCTTTCTGTTACTTCCATGTTCAAGAAAGAAATATGAAGTACTTTTGAAATATATCAATTATGTTTCATGTGATACTTGTTCATTTACACATTCATTACCCTCATAAGTGGTTACAATTGTAGTATTTGAAACCAAAAGAAATATTCTATAATATAGATGTTGTAATTTTTTCATTTCAATTTTCCTTCTATTTAGAAATGTTTCCAAATGAAGACCCATCACTGCTTAATGATGCCTTCAATATTGTAGCAAAAGATGTCTTCAGAAAGATTATTTTGGAAGAGGATAAAAGGTATTTTATTGTTTACAACTTACTTTATTTAGTTCCAATTGAAATACTAAGTGTGTAATGCCACAGATCAAACTGTTTTGTAGTGTGACATGAATTGTATTTAAAACATTGTGAATATATTTTATCCGTTCCCCCTCATTATAATAGAATAAATTCTAGTGATTAATGACGTACTATCTATGAATCATCTGAGAATATGATATTCTATTGAAATTGACAAGGCAATTACTGCATCATCACTCTCTAATAATCATCTGGATTCTGTTACATTGTCTGAAATATTACACCATTGGAACATCTTATCTAGTTGCACATTTTTCTCTTCCATGTAAATGGTATTTGAATTATGTCAACTGCCTCTAGTTTTTATTAAAATGCTCATATTATCATATTTACATCAGTGTCCAAAATGTGCTAGTAAAGAATGTTTAGAGCGCACGAGGAGACATTTAATGAGTGCCTCAAGCATCGTCTTGTGCTTCTGTCTATACAACTCTTTTCATCTGTGATACATTCAGGTGTGATGGCAGAGAAGCAGATGAGATGCGTGACATCACATGTTCAGTGGATCTCTACAAACCCTTACATGGCTCCGCTCTCTTTCAGAGAGGTCAAACACAGGTAAGAATTATGCTCTTTCCACACTTTGAAGGGATATAGAAGGCAGTTTCCATGTGTAGGCGGTCATAACTCGCTGACACCAGACTTGATGGAAATACCAGCACACAGCAAACTGGGTGTCCCAGCAAGAAATACCCCAGTCTTTCGGAGAGTCTTTGAGTGAGGGAAATGTATGATAATGACATTTTCTTTATGGGGTGATTTGTGGAATATGCACAGCATTTACAGAAGATCTATTGCTCATATATGTGAAGGCTTTTCTCTGTGATTGAAAACACCTGTTGTTGAGAAACACCTGCATGGTGTCAAATTCCACACTATTGATGCAGCTCCATTATCACTGTGCAATCAAGTCTTAAGTTGAATTATATGTTGATTCAATTTATGCTTTCATAAAAATGATGATGCAAAAAATATCCTAAGAAGTTGTTTTCATGCATTGAGAAAAATTACAATGTGGCCACCCCCAAAAAATTCTGAAATCGATTAATGTTTATGTGATTTAATCATTATTTAAAGATTGGAGAACGATTCACATTCCTGTTAAATAACAGTGGCATTTGAGATAATATATTTTATCCAAATACCGGTAGTATAAGAACTACAGTGGTATGTGATTGTGTGATTCTTTAGTAAATAATGTGACCACCACATATTCATATTTGTCAATTGTTAATTTTGATGAAAAATTGAAAAGGTGTCAAAAGTACAGGTTTTTTTTCAACCTCCCTTTTACACAATCTTTATAGAAAATCGTGATCCTATGCCTTAAAGCTCATATTGATTATTGTATAATGTCCTAAGATAGTTAATTTCTCCCTAATTTTCTGAATTATGTGTATAAACCAAGAGATGTCTCTGTTGATAATTTTTTTTACAGAGAATATCATTAAGTTGATTTCTGTTCCTTTTATATCCATTCCAGGTCTTTTGTACTGTAACATTTGATTCCATTGAATCAGCGTTGAGAGCAGATCCTGTGTGGCAAGAGTAAGTGAAGAAATATTTTATGACCTAAGCCTTTTTTTAAGTTCAGTGATATTTAGTGTGAGGAAAGCAATAAAATATAAAGAGTTAACATAAATAAAATGTATGCTTTTACTTTAATTGTTTGTAGAACATTTTTGTGTCACCTGTTTTCAAGTTCTGACTTCAGAATGAACTTGCAAGTTGTCATACAAACATCTTTTCTTTTTTTTCTGCTGAGAAACTACAAAGTTCACAATAGATATCCCTGTAAGAATAACTACACTTTTCGATTATCGCATGATCATTTCATTAAATGTGGACTTTAGCAAGGGTTGAGGAAAATTATATGGATGGTGACAAATGATGAATGAAGTTTACATTATTGTAAATCTTTTTTATGTACATAAAAGCATTCATGTGTAATTGATATATCCTACTTGATATTTCCTGCTGTTATTAAATAATTATCTTGAACTGTTCATGATAATAATAATAATAATAATGAAAATAATAATGATAATAACAATAATAATTATAATGATATTGTGTTTTTCAAGTTATAGCACATGTCACTGCTGCATCACTGTCTCTATGTGCTTAGGACGAAACACATAAAAGGGTGAAATATACCTGAAATTTATATTAAATTTCCACTTATCTAATTTTTGCAGGGACATCAGAGAAAAGAACTTCATGCTGCATTATGAGGTAGGTAGACACTTTCTGATTTTCTTTATCCTGCATGGAAAAATGTTTTATTCTATTAAATTGTGACATACAAGTCTACTGAAGATTTTTTTGCATAGAGAAAAAACAAAATCAAGAGGCATACCGGTATTACAAAGTGGCAAAATATCAATTCATTTTTTTTTGTGTTTTGTAATGTGTAAAATTATATATCGGTACAAAGATTTGAAAGAAATACAATGTTTGCATTTTCATGTAGTGTTATGTGATGTATTATGTTCTGTCATAAATGTCAGAGTATATATTAGTGCTGTAAGTCAGACGCTATGTTCGTGTTCGGTTCGGTTCGGCAATTTTTCACCCGAACTTGGTTCGGTTCGGGGTTCGGTAATAAAATAGCAAGCAGCGTTATAGCCACGGCGGTCGGCACTGGGCGGGCCGTCCAGCCTGCCGGGCCCGACCAGCACGGAGGACCTCTGCACACTGCTTCCGACCAGTACGAATTTCACATTAAAAACTGCTCTAAACGTAATTATTTGTGAAGAAAAATACTACTTACATTTGTATTTCCGTCTTGAATCGTGTTTTATTTTCAATTTTAAAAGAATCATGTTTTCAATTTGTCAATAAATGATATTTTTGAAAGATTTTCCGAGACGGTTGTTGTCTAATGTTAGAGTCATGAAAGCTGCCATCTTGAATACAAATTCAGGCTCGTCAATAACTGTTTTGTATAAGTTTTTATTTTTAATAGGAAAAATATAAAATCCCTATTTTTCCTGAATAAATAAATACCATACTATAATATATATTTATTTAATTATTTATATTGTAAAATTTGTCCGATATTGTTACAATTATAATATTATTTTTTTGTTGAATGGGTTTGAGCTGAACATATTTTGATCACGCACATGTATTCTTGTTTATGGCTTCCGATCGCGACGTAGCGTGGTCTGGGATTTAAATGGCGCCAGTGAAGTCACCACTGGAAACGCGTAAATCACAAAGGCAGAAAATGGGAAAAAAGTAAATATAAAATGAGCAATCATGACATGAAAATTAGGTACAAAATGACAAGTTTATTAGCTTGCAAAAACTTTTTATATTTTTCTGCCGAACATCCGAACCAGGCCTTTGCGTTCGGTTCGGAAGTGCCATGTTCGGTGAACTTGTGTTCGGTTCGGCTGTTCGGCTACAGCACTAGTATATATTGTTAAAATGAATTACACTGTCTGTTTTTAAGTTAAAGTTATAAATGTGTACAACAGCATTATTGTTTAGATTTTACAAAACAAATGTATCACACATTTTGTATATTTTTGTTGTTGATGTTCTGACAAATGAAACATTTCAAGATTTGAAAAAATAATTCAAATTTTGTTACTGTCTTTCTTCTTTCTGTGCTTTTATTAAATGTACCTATATTTGCATGTGTCTCTATTTTTATACAGTTTCCACCTTACGCTACAAATGAAACAGGCAGGACGGGAGGCATCAATAGGAGAGAGCTAGGTCATGGTTAGTAATGCATTGGCTAATTTTGTGGGTCATATTCTTAAAACATGTTAAACTGTGTCGTTACTTTAAAATGCAGTGATTTGTTATACTATTGTTTTATAAAAACATGATATATAGAAGGAGCTCTGTCATAAAACTACAGTGTTGACACTATCATTTATCCATGTCCTAGTCAGATTTTTGGAGATGGATTATAAATGCTATCGTTAAGACTTGATTTATTGCAGTTCTATTCATTGAATATTGAAATTAGCATTTAATAAACTTCTACATTATAATCTGCATTGACCAGAGATAGAATTCATTACAAATGAATCAAAATTGTTTGAGTAGATGGGGGATAATTGATCTCTTAAAAATGTTAGGCTTGAAATCATCCAACATACCAGCACCAACAAGCAAAATAAGCAACAGGAAAATTATAAATTCTGAAAAAACTGTTTTGGACCAGTAAATTTCTTGAAATAATGTTATGTAACCTTGTTGCTCCTGATCATTTTTTGTTTGCTTCACAGGAGCTCTGGCTGAGAAAGGTCTGAGACCTGTGGTTCCATCTGACTACCCTTTCACCATTCGACTCACCAGTGAAGTTCTAGAGTCAAATGGTATGTCGTTCTTGTTACTGCATTCATTTATTTGTTTAAGAACTTTAGTCATATATATATATATATATATATATATTATACAAATAACGCACGTCCCAGAGTGCAATAGCGGTGAATGCAGTACGCGCGAGGTTTCTTTAGATTGGTGCCGCTCTGTGCAACGAGCCGCTTGCGGCGAGTTGACAGTGCGAACCATCTGAAGAAACCGAGCGTACACTGCATTTACGTTTCGCACAATTGGTCAAGTGCGTTATTTGTTTTATAAAATAGCGACACAAATAGCAACAAACGAAACTTTAGATCTTAAGTTAGAGTCTACGAGAGTTCGATCTAGATCTAGAGTTAGGTTGGTTCTAGACTAAGACCTTGCAGGCTTACCAAAAAGTCAATGGGATTCATTGCCTTGATTAAAAATAAAATCCACAGAGGTCTACAGTGGGTCTAGAGACGAATCTACATCAGACAGCTGAAATTCCTGGCTTCGTTATAAAATCCAAAAGTCAAAACAGGCCTAAATCCAAGGCAAAAGTAAAATAAAAATTTGCTTTTTATGTCTAAGTTGATAAGTCCATGCTAGAGCTAAGCTACGCGTACGTTGCGCTGGGGATTATGGTGGAGCGTACAATATTAGCTACACGTAGCCTACAATAATTGCAATGCACTCGAGGGAGCGCGTACTACACGTACGCGCGCGCACTGGATCTCCATGGTCACGTGCAATATAACTTTTTGTTGCGCTTTTTCTGCACTCATTTCTGGAAAATCGTGCTTGCATCAAAAATTTGTCAATGTCATGTGACACGTATTGACCAATCACGATGCTTAAAATACTAGAGCCATTTTATAAATATATATATATATATATATGCATAATTTGTGAGGAATATATAAAAAAGAATATCATTTAGTTCCTTGGATAGCATAGTACTGTGGACTATATGTTTGAATGTCATTTTTCTTTTGATTAGAATATGAAGCAGAGAAACAGAAATGTAAATTTGAAAGGGAGTTGAATACTAATAATTTGTTTATATTTTCCTCCTCTTGCTGTTTTAGGTTCATCATCTATGGCAACTGTATGTGGTGGAAGTCTTGCACTCATGGATGCAGGTATCTATTCTATCATTTTTACATGGTTCTGAGCATGCAAATTACAAAAGCATAGAATTCAACTAGGTTGGATAATGTTGTTAAATAGATGATTTCATGTAACAGCTATTTAACCAAATATTAATCATCGTGTCTTGTAGAAATTAATCATTGTTGCTGATGATTTCATATAGGTTGATCACCGTGCCTAACTTCTGTGTGGAATTTTAATTTTGTAACAAAATATACAATAATACAGAATGCTACAATTCTAATGGGGCGTTGCAAGAAAGTTGCGATTGATTGCAAGTTGCATTTGCAATGGATTGCAACTCAACTTTCTTGCAATGCCCCTATAGTCTCCTAATTTTCCTAGGATTTTGTTAGGATTAAGGTTTTAACAATTAAATTAGGTTTACTACTTCTAGCTTTTATTCTCCGCCCCCCCCCCCCTCTCTCTCTCTCTCTCTCTCTCTCTCTCTCTCTCTCTCTCTTTCTCTATCTCTTACTAATGAGGCGTTGCAAGAAACTTGAGTTGCGATCAATTGCAAATTTGCAATTAATCGCAAGACTTACTCTTGATTTTGGGGATTTGCAATTGATTGCAACTTTCTTGCAACGCCTCATAAGACTGATGTACATGTATGTAATAGTAATCGCAGCGTATTGTTGAAGCAAAATACTTTTTGTTTACCCTTACTAGGTGTACCAGTAAGCCATCCGGTAGCAGGTGTAGCCATTGGTGTAATTACAGAGACGGAATCTGATGATATCTTCACCATCAAAGACCACAGGATAGTCACAGATCTGCTGGTATGTATGTCAGGCACAATGCCTGGATTCAGTTATCAAGATAAAAACTTTCTTGAGAAATCATTGTGAAACATTTTGGCAGATTTTTTTTTTTTTTTTTGGGGGGGGGGGGGGTAGTTGAATAGTTGAAGAAAGGGAAAAATGAAATTGGAGAGTCCAGCCGTAAATGGAGATATTAAGCTGTGAAGCTTATTTATTCGATCTGTAAAGACAGATAAAATAACAATGACAGATTTAGTATATCATTCATGTTACACAAGAATGCAATATATAATCCAAATTATCTGAACAAACCAAGTTACTGTATCTATAAAGTTTCATTTAAACACATTTGCTTTTGTTCTATAAACTGTCAATCTTGACCTCGTCCTTTAACTAACAAAAATCCAGAGTAACCAATGGTTACAAAACATTATGCATTTTATAATATGCATTACTTTCAAATACTCATACTTTCAGAGTTTCTAAAACCGACCAGACTTCCCTTTAAACAGATCACTGCCAATTTGCATGAACCAAAATAACTGTAAACATCTTTATCTTGCATCAATACACAAGCTTGATAATTCTCATCTATCTTCATAGCATAAATTCCTTCTAAAAACCTCAACAATGGATTGTCACTTTAAATGTGCTATATGACCTTCGACTGACTTTGACAGGCACCTAATTTGCATATTTATGCTCGCCTAAGAAAAACTGTCTTATAAAATGACTTCATACAATTTAACCCTGTTTGATGAATTAAACTTAAATATCTGACTTACATAAAACTTCCCAGTAATAATCTAGAGATTACACTTCAATACAAAATAAACTATCTGGCATAACTTGTAATTTACACCTGTAATTTACATCTGTAATCTACTCCTGTAATCCACACATGCACTACAGCAAGCCTTTCAAGTTACATTGTTAACTCTTAAAAATGATTAAACACTGTCTTCAATTCTGACTCTAAATACCATGCCAGAGGTGCAAAGCTTAACCTTTCACCTAGTCAATAAATGGTGTCTTGCAACTTTTAAGCAAGCTAAATCAAATTCCACAGACCAACTTTTGTCACCCAAACAAACTGCATAAAATCCAAGATTCTAGCATGCACAAATATAAACATCCTTTATCTTTAGGACTTCTAAATATATACACTGTTTACTCTATAAATGACATAAAACAATATTTGCCTAATATTGTAATTCTGTTTTGACAATTATCATTTAACTGGAAAAACACAAGACGAAAAGTACGTGTCATGGGCGCGGCCATTTTAGGTGCAGCCATCTTGGAATTAATGCCACATGTGCATTATGCAAATGAGTTGAATACAGCTCTTTAGAATTCGTTTTACAGTTCAACTTGAATCTATCTTATTTTCCGTTTTAAGAGTTCACATTCCAGTTTATATTAATCTAAACACTCAATTCTGTGGCGGGACAAAACTTCGTCGGGAATACTTGAATGGCAACTGACGGGTTAACTGGTAAATGAGTCAAACTGGACTACATTTCTGACTGTGCACTGCGTTGACTGAAGAACATGGCGACAGTGCCGAACTTAACCTATGGTAGCTTATAAGAGCAAAAAAGAGAAAATCTAAACCAAGCAAAAATCATCGCTCGGCGAAACAGTAGTGAAGGACCAAATTGCTTAATTTTGTTTGGATATTTGCTTTAATATTTGCTCTTTGCTGCACATTTTAAGCAGTATAATCTTAGTGGATCAAAATGAATTTAGGAATTGCTTTGTTTGATGTTGACAGTTTACCTGTAATTGTTCTGTTTGTTAATGTTTGAACAGGGAATTGAGGACTACATGGGAGATATGGATATGAAGCTGGCTGGAAGCAAGAAAGGAATCACAGCATTACAGGTAAGGGAAGAGAATCGGGCAGTCACAGTGGGCCACGAAAATCTCCTAGAAAACGCTCTTGGCGAAAGATACTGTAAAAAGTAGATAAACTAAAAACTGTGTCTGGTATTACATGACACAGCTGGAATTTAGCTATAATATATACAAAATTAGTTTTCTTCTGTTTTTACGAAATGGGGGTAAGGAGTGTAATAGTAGCAATACAACTAGCACAGCACATATACTTACCACACAATTTGTTCTCTATTTTCTTATGTCACGTTTCATTGTCATTTTTTTCTCATTAAGTTTTTGTAACGTGGGCCTCAAAGAACAGCTAAAGTGGGCCTTGAGTTAAAAAGGGTTGAGAAGTGCAGATCGAAGGGATTGCATATTTACTGTTCATTTGAAAGGTTCAGTTTCTAATTTAATCTGGAGTAAAAAAGACATTTATTCTTTCCATGAGAAAGATATGCATTCTTCATGTTCTATACCTAGAAACAATGTACAGATCTTTTGTTTCTCATTAGAGCCTTTTGAATTGTCTTTACGTAGTGAAGTGAAATAATTATTATTCAATAGAGCTTTAATTGTTGGTAAAACACTCCCCAATACCATTTTACTGAAACCCCCAATGATGTAATAATTATGCTGTGTGACAAGACTAATAATCATTATTCTATGTGCAATAATACTTCACTTGCAGTTTAAATGTCATTTTATCATGTATACAGCCATATGCAATTCCCCTTTGGTTGTAAAACCTGCCTAATAAACCCTCTCTTAATTGAATTGAATGTTATTTTCATTCAAGCTGGTATAAACTTGTAACTCTGATGCAGGAACCATATATGGAATTGGCTAGGATATCCCACCATCTTTGCTCCTTCATGCTTTTCAAATTTCTTCATCTTCAAACCTCTTCATATTTTGTTTACCAGACTGATGTGAAAGTGCCCTTGCCCATGAAGATCATTGTAGAAGCCATCCAGGCTGGTACAGCAGCCAAGAGTAAAATCCTCAACATCATGGCGTCATCTATCAGGAAACCTAGGGACCTCAGAAAAAGCAACAGTCCTGTCACAGGTAATCCACAATCATTTGTTTCAAAATACCTAAGTTACATTAAAGCCTGTCTGCACTAGTTTAGCCAGGAGGGATAAGACCTCCCTGCAAGGTCACTGACATGTTGTTATCTCATCAAATCAGCTCTCAATTAACATAAGAAAAAGGGGTTCATGGGGGACCAACGGGGTACCGATCATTGTGGTGATTTTGTTCTTCTCTTTTTTTTTTTCTATCATAGAAAACCTTGAAGTGCCGGTACAAAGGCGGTCCAAATTCATTGGGCCTGGTGGTTACAACTTGAAAAAGTTGAGAGTAGAAACTGGTAAGTTTGTTTTCTTTTGTCATTACCTCCTTTGTGCAATAAAAACCAGACTGTGCTTTTAATGCCTGTTAAAGAAATGCTGCAGTAACTTTGTCTTCTCCATTTGAGCACATATATGCACAAATTTTGTTATGTTTCATAGGTAACAGATTTATTATAAATGAATGTTAACACAGCACAGCATATAGTAATCTTCTTAAATAGGAAATGGAATTGTAGCATGAATTAGTAAGCATCTCCTTGTTTCAAATGTGCTTTTGTTGTCACTTTTGTTCTAGGGGTAACAATTTCTCCCGTTGATGAAACTCACTTCTCAGTCTTTGCACCCACGCCAAGTGCAATGAGTGAAGCAAAGGAAAGAATTGAGCAACTGCTATTAGAAGATGTAAGTGTAATACCAGTCTGCTTTTTCATTACCTTCACTTTCAAATATTTTTCACCTTGGATCATAATTTTTTTGTCAGGTTTTGCTTCATATTCAATAGAGTCAAGCCATTCTCTTTTTTATATCATGATTTTATTAAATCTAGTCTCAAGATTACATGTCTAAAGGCTTGTAACAATTTTGGATGTATCCTTTAGGTAGAAACTTGAATGTGGCCGGGACAGTCCTCCAAATTTGATAGAGAACAAGAATAATAGAAAATTAATAGTTCATGCAAAGGTGTATTTGTTTACCGTAAGCACATATTGTAGCCTAGCGATAATCTCTACATACGTTGACTGTGAAAGCACCCCTTTCTGTGGTACTTTCCTGTATTTTAATGACTTTGATGTCTTACACTCACACAGAAAGAACCAGATTTGGAGTTTGGAGGTATCTACACAGCTACTATCACAGAACTAAGGTAAAAATAGCTTATTCTGGTTGATATTTTCCTTTGCATAACACAATGTCGTTAGAAAATTATCATTACTTTATTGAATGCCACTTAGGATTTGGAGTTAGAGAACCATTGAACATGGGTAGTGCCACAAATATATTTGATTTTTATTGAATTGACTTTTATTTCATTCTTCAGTCCCTAACCCTATTTAAGGTTGTATTATCTAACAAACTTTGTGTTAATAAACACAAAATGGTACGATCTATTTGTGCCCTTGCAAGCTGGGGGTTTAATCTTTGTTTTTGTCGTCATTTCCTCTTACCATTTGTAAGGTTCTTTCCTTTATTGATTGAATGTCCATGATATTCCTTTCAGGGATAATGGAGTACTAGTAAAGCTGTATCCTGCAATGCCACCTACATTACTTCACAACTCACAGCTTGATCAAAGAAAGGTAGGTCAGAAAAGTGATGAACTCTTGATAGAAGGTATTTGTGGTCATATGACAAAAGAATGTCCATTTAAGTATGTGGTCTGCAGTAGTGAGCATGTACAAGTAAATGCACTTCTGTGGGAGGCCTAAAGTTAGCCTATATACTGAATCAGGGATGTATTTGCCATTGATGATGACATCAACCAATCTTAAAATTGCTCAAAATAACGAGGATCTAGGATTATCATACAAAACACAAGATGCATGCCTTCATTTATTCATTATATGATCTATCTGCTGTCATTAAGGCTATGCTCATGGTTTCATGGTTAGATGCATACAGCCTCAACAGGAGTGCTGATAAGTCATATTAAGAATTTATTTAGCATGAATCATTTTTTATACTGGGCTTACTAAATTAGCTCTAATGTTAATAAATATCGACATTCAATTTGGCACAGAGTTGTGTAAAATAAAAACTTTTTATTTTGATTGAAGATACATAAAAATATGAAGCTTGTGGCTGTTGTTTGTGATGAATATAGTTATGCCTAAAGATTACACTGATTTCCTGTAGCTGTACTTTAAAAAGATATCTTCTGTTTCAGGTGAATCATCCAAGTGCCCTGAAGATGGAGGTAGGCCAGGAGATTCCCGTCAAGTACTTTGGTCGTGACCCTGTCAGCGGAAAGATGCGACTGTCCCGCAAGGCCCTCATGGCCCCAGCATCGGCCGTCATCAGAAACTTGAATGCAGTTAGAGGTGCAAGAGGAGCAGCATCAGCCACCACATCATCGTCTAATTCATCGTCCACGTCTCCGTCTGATTCATCATCATTCTCATCAGAGAGATGATAAAGGGCTAGATGGTCGGTGGATGGAGACTATATTTTTTGCCAGAAGATTGTTCCTATTGTAGGGGAGACATCCCAAGTAGGAATTATGCAGAGTCTTGGGGTCTGTGGTGGATATTGATGGCTTGTCCGGAGAGTTTCTCCAATATGTGACCAACAAAGAAAGATAAGACACCGTTTGCTGAACTAAACTAGGTATCATCCATCTTTGGGATGTTATCTTTAAGAGAGCTGTGTAGATACACATGATCCCATGTACTCAGTACTGCCTCTGCTTTCTTTTCTGCCATATTATCGCTTCATTTCAGGGCAAGAGAAGCTCTGCAACCCAACCCCCCTCAAGTCTTTTATAACAAAGTGGTGCTTTCCCTACTTAACAAAATATCCATGATCAAAGATTTGTAAAGATTAAATTCATAGCAATAAATTTGTCTATCAATGACTTCTAATTATGCTATGGCCAGTTGTGCAGCCTAAGCAGGATTTTCTTGAACTGTCTGTTGTGAGTTTGAACCATGATTTCTGGAGTATGCATTCAAAGTGCTTCTGAAGTTTAATCTTTATTCATGTCATCTAAAGAGGACAATTTTAATCTACAAAGCAACAATGTGATATTGAATATTTCATTTGGACACTTATTCCTCAGCACAATGAATTACATAATCAACCATGCATGTTATTTGTTAAAGGAAAGATTCATGTCCGACAGGTTACTAAAAAAACGCTTGTGGTTGGGTCGTATGTAGTCACGATCAGTGAAATACCTAACAGAACATTAAACTTCTGACAGAACATAAGAATTTACTTTCATTATACATGTATACGTTGGGCAAGAATGTTGGCTGCATTGTATCCCAAACCGACACATCTCGGACATGTGTATCAGATCTCCTGTATTTCATCTGTGTTTTCTAGCAGGAGTATGTAATGGGCAGTTATGAAAATTAATTTTCAGTTGCAGGATACATGTTCATGTACATTGATGGTTTTCGGCGATTAAATACTCATTGCATTTTCAAATACATCATATGGTCATGTTTAGGGAAAACATGTTCTCATATATTATTCCTCCAAACTTTTATTTCTGTCATACCATTTTTATACATTTTTTGTTTGTATTTATGACGGCAATATTAAATCTTGATTATGCAAAGCAAATCTTTCTCTTTCTTTTCTGTTTTATTTGTGTATCTTTAAAGTGCAATGACCTCTCAAGTATATGAAAATTCTGAATGTACTTATACATCACGTCGTTCCTATTTTCACAAAGTGACGGTAGTGAGGAAAATCTGCACGCAAATTGTATGCGATTTTCATTCACTACCGTCACTTCATTTCGTGAAAATAGGGACGATGTGTGTCAAAAGTAGTGGTTCGACTAGTACAGGTATAAATGGAAAAAAATGAGTGATCGATTTGGAACAGACTTGCTTTAATAATTTTGGCTTTCACATTAATGCCGTTCTGGCAAGGTCACAGTGGAATGTGGACCACGGAAATATATACAGCACATACAACAAAAACTACCTAAAATGATGACTGAATAAATATTATACAGCTTATCTATAATACTTCTACACTAATTGCTACTCGAAATATTACCAACTAAAAAAATAACATTCTTCATGCTTCCTCTTCAAGAATACAACATATTCGGCAAGACAGCATTAGCACTGCCAACAATACCACATACATGTACAAACTATGAACAGAAGATGATCATATTGAGTTGATTAGTTTTGATCAAAGCAGAAATTGAGCCAAAATTTGCATTATCTCAGTGGGTCTATTGGGTAGATTCAGGTTACATGATTTTTATAATATATACATGTACATGTATATTATTTTCTACATACATGCGCTACAAATGAAGACCTTTGGGAAGGGACAAAATGTATAAATAACCATGAGGAAATGCTAGTAATGCACTCATTTTCATAACAAAGCATGTTTATACTTCAACGACACTTGTAACACGGTAACTTGACAGAACAAACAAATTTTTCACAATCTGCAAGTGGGTCTTCAATATAAACCATTTCAAGTACATCTATCTTTTAATGACATACACAGTAGAACAATTTGAATGTTCCACTGGTCATACCCTTTCCTCAAGTTAAGCTCAATTCACCTTATAACAACAATCACATTCAGCCTCGGTTGGCATTTGGCAAAAATATTGATCAATGTGTATACTGTAGCATTCAAATGTAATGTACGTCTTTAAGTCAGGGTGTTGAAGTATTATCTTCTTATGGTTCGGCAAAAATGAGTGGAGATGGTGCACACTTGTTTTCACACCTTGCACAGGTCACAGATCCAGCTCCCTGCAAGTAAACATGATAACAATGGATTACAAGCATTAGCAAATTAATACTTAAAAACAAACATTCGTTAAAAGTCCAAATGAATTTCAATACATAAGAACATTTTCAATTTAATGCTTCAAAAATAAATTGAGCTATATTCTATTCTTATCTTCATTCTATGAATTGAATTGTGACTGAAGCTCTTATCAAATTTTCAACAAAACATATACAAAGAGATTGATTGGGAAATTTTCATCATTGTTTCTAAATACTAATAATTTTGCTGTCTCATTTTTTCTGGGTAAGTCCCAACATTGCTTTATCCGTTACTTTATCTGATCTTCTTGCCAGTATGCTTTTATTATCTTCACAGAATAGATCATATAGATACTAATAACTGTTGAGCTTATTCCCTTTCCCCAGGCATCGTTTAACAATGTTAAATCTGAGATGCATGGCCCTACATGTTATCAGTGTATGTGATATGGTATAATATTGAAGCCCTAAAATAATTGCGCTTCATTTTCCCCAATAGACGGTTGTGTTATAAAAACCGTTAGGAAAACAAAAAATGAAATTTCGATTTTCAATCATAAATATCTTGATAATCAGAAAGGCGATCAGCTTGTAAAAGTCATGGGATTCCTGACTGACCAAAAGGTTTATAATTATGATTGCAGCATGAGCTACATCCAGGATTTTGTTTCAGAATCTGAGGCAATGTTACCAAGTCACTAAACAAAACCAACAAAAATCACATCTGATCTTCCTACCTTCGGGTGGTGCCTGCATCGGTGGATTGAGACAATACATGTGGTATCCTCTATCACAGTCATCGCAGAACAACAGTTGGTCCTATGAAATGAGAAACGTTGCACAGTTTATGTTTATATATTCTTCAATTACTTAACAAACAAGTATTCAGAAAATTCTTTCTTAACATTCAGAAATCAAAAAGTCTCAAAGACTATTTATGGTGTTGGTATATTCACTAAACTTGTAACGTTGATGAAAGTTTTTAGGCAAAGTAATTAACCCTTGAAAAGAGGACATGTATGTATATCATCATCAAATATAGAACTGCTGAAAATGTAATATGCAAGATGGTTACAATGCAAAATGTGGAGGTGTTGTGGTCTATGTCACTGGACTGTTTATTGCATGGTCTAATGTCCTTTGGCAAGACATTAATCTACATTTACCACTCGACCCAGGTGAGGTAAATGGGTACCTGGCACGAATTAATTCCTTGAAATGTAAGAGCACCATAATGGCAGCCATGCTAAAGTTGGGGTAATAATTGTGGAGCACCAGGAGTGTCTGGTCTGAAAACCAGCTATATCATTAAAACAAAACTATGCTTACATTTATCACTTCATATGTTACAAATGTTTTGACAAGGTACTCGAGAGTCATGGCTGAGATGGATATCAATATTGAATAATAGATTTTGAAATGGATATGTGCACAAAGTTTATATGTAATGCCAATGATTCAAATTTAATCAAATATTTTTGGAGAGATGAATGAGTGAAGCAGCCAGGAAAAATGTTGCACAACCTAATACTATGCTATATTTATACTCAACAAATAAATAATTCTTATCAAAAGCATGCATTATTTTATTTTTTTTCCTCGAAATTTGACTGCTAGAGAGGCATGCAGAACTTACATCATTGTCTGAAGTGCCACAGAGTCCACAGGACTTGCACTCGATGCACTGCCAGCGATAACCTTTGACCTTCTGAATCATGGTATCAGTGAACTGGAGACAGGTTGGATGACCTGCATGAGTCAAATGGAAATACACAGAACCCTGGCCCTTTATTTACAGTGCTTTTATAATGGATCCTCAAGCTTTACACTAACATTGGGATTTATCTTCTGCCTTGGATTTGTATTAGATGACAACATGGTATTGTACCAAGATTTGAAGGTTAAATCAATGTTGCTGATAACAGTCTAAATCAAGACATATATCACAACATTTAATTCTATGCCAGCAATTTTTGATGTTGCTTATTTTTGTTTGCATTTTTATATTCAATCATTCATATTCTCCTGTTGTCGACAAGAGGGTAATATAATTATAGCAAATTTTAGCATTCTTACTTAGCATCACTTAGGAAATGGACAAGGAGTGTGAACACATTTATGAACTCCCATAATGCTATGCTTTCATGTGCTATGGTAAATATCTTAAATCATACAATGTCTCTCAGTCCAAAAACCCCACTGGGTGAAATATAAAATGAAAAATCACAATGAAGCTATAATTATGCTCATCATAGATATATGTTAAATAAGAATAATACACAGAGCATGACAATTTCTTTTTCAATGTACAAATTAACAAATGCAAGGTGTACAGTGAGATGAAATAAAATGGCAGTTTAAGCATTGATGAAATTACAATTCATGATGAAGTATGCATTATTTTTAGTTACCGTAAATCTCTGTGTATAAGTGCGTCTTATACACAGGTTAAAAAGAAAATTAAAAAATTAAAGTTTTTATTTATGCCCCTCCGCCCGGCGCTATGCCTGGCAATGTCTCCCAGCTCAGTAATCTGTGTGCTGACTCACCACTCGGAAACTACAACAACACTCAAATGTGTCTGTCATCTTGGTTTGAAAGTAATCTTTCTAATAGATCTCAATATGTAGTTTATAATAATAATTCCTCAAATTTTTCTTCTATTACACATGGCGTACCACAAGGTTCTATCCTAGGTACTCTACTGTTTTTAATTTACATTAATGATCTTACACATTCTTCTAAAAACGACATTGTTAATATTATTTGTGACAACTTCACAAGCAAAAATCGGCGCCTTCAACTGCACCTCGATGTTAAATGAAAGTGCTTCCCGCGTGGGTTTTCCGGCAAAAAAACAGCAACAAAATAGGGGTGCACCTTATACACAGGTGCGTCTTATACACAAGATTTACGGTACCTTTAATATTTGGAATAATTAGGATATGAGGCCTTGAAAATTCAAATACACACACGGATCACCATGCTATATTCTATCACCTACCATCAATATTCATATTAATATGAGGCATTCCTTTGCCATTAACTTTGAAATTGATATTCTGTATCAGTCCCACTGCATAGATTCTGTGTTGTGCATCTTATAATATTACTTTATACCTGATCTACCACAGTCTGAACAGGAGATGAGGTCTTCTGGTGTCTGAGTCTTCTTGTTCTCTGTAGCATCACCAAGGCAGAAGTCACAGTAGTTGTTGGTTTCTGGTCCGCCTCCTCCTTTACTGGACTTGGATACTTCGCCTACTGAGTTCATGAAAATATAAAAAGTGATTATGTTCCCCATAAGAAAGAAGATTCATACAAAATTGAATTGCTGCAGAAGAGCCATATTTGTTTGACAGATAATGTAAACAAATCTAAAATAAATATAGATAATGTAGGCGAAGAAATATAATAAATGCCTTGCTTTTTCTGGGGAGGGGGAGAGAAGTCTCCAGATGTATTGAAAGAATTCCAGTGGGGGTCTGGGAAATAACGGCTCTGATGAGACCTACATTTACAGGTAGATGGGAGCATACAGTAACAGGTGCATGTAGAGGTGTCGTTGTCAGATGGATATGTCACCGGACTGTGGATCACAGAGTCTGCGGTTTGAGTCTCGCAGCAGAACTAATGTCCTTTGGCATACAATTGTCTTTTATCCAAATTTTTTTTTAAAGTACACAACGATTCTCGTCACTCTCTTTCATTAAAGAGCTCATTTTCCCCTTAATTGGATACAGGTACTACCTTCCTTGTGACAAAATAAAACAAATATGAAACACTTATGACACTGTCTTATGAAAGCATACATCAGACTTGAATGGATCTATATTTTGACAAAATGCAAGGGTACAACCACTACAAGGAAAAGGATGAGAGACGAGCATAATGCCTACTTCCATTCCAGTTCATGGCATCATCAGCCTTGAACGAATTATGAAAAAATGCCAGGGGTTCAACCACTTGCAGGAAAGGGAGGGGTTGCATGGGGGACATGCCCCCTCTCGCTTCCATTCACGTGCCCTGCTTAGCTGTGACTTACAACTATCTTCGCTTGCGCTTGTCACAGCGGACACGGAGGTAGCTTCTAGATCCATACTGTTCTTGACTGGATGCTTACGTGGATCGGCCACAGGCTCCAGGGGTGAGGGCTGCGAGTCATTCTCCTCCATGCTGGTCTCTAACTCGGCCTGGTGAGTGTGCTGCGTGTGGTAGCTCAGACCCTGACGGTTCTTATACCGCTTTTTGCATACTGAATTTTGAGAGAAAAAAGAAAATGGGTATCATCATGATATTTTGTCTTTCAAAATGAGTGAGTATTATAGCAGAGCACTCCTAACTATTGCTAAACTACTTCCTAATTAGCCACACAGCAAACTGCTCAACATTTCTACATCAGGGTAGATTTCGCCATTACAAAAAGCAATGAAGAGAAAAATTAGCAAGGATATTACTTCAATTACTTCATTTGAATGCATTAGAAGAAGAAAAATTTCAGTGTAAAAGCTCCAACCTTATATAAAACCAAGAAGATGTTTATCAACCAATAAGCTAATAAAAGTAAGTTGGTTACATGTTGAAGACCTGGAGCTATACACTTTTACCTTTACATGCAAATGGTTTATCTTCAGCAGTTAGTAGTGGCATCTCACCATCTCCTCCACCTCCTCCTCCCCTTGATCTACGTCCTCCTCCTCCTCCAGTACCACGACCCTATATCACATAGAAACGTATGGTTTAACCTTTTCACATGAAAAAGAATTGGTTGAATAATATGAGTATGGAAATCTATCTCAAATGCATAAGAAACACACTCAAAGGGTCAAAATATCACTAACATTAAAGTATGCTAAGAACTAGATTTGCCTCCCATTGTAGTGTTTGTGTTGTACATCAATTTAGCAAACACACATAGACAAAACTGGTTGTGATTATCAACACAAATCTCATTTTGTAAAGAATTACTTCACTTTTAGATTGTGAAACTTTGGATCAATTCTACAAAAATATTACTAATAGATAATAATAATAAATAGTTCAAAGGAGAAAAGTCCTAGATAATAAGGGTATAGTGTGTGGGTGTTTGCAAGGACTGTAACTACACTTCATGCTTGGTAATATAATGCAGTAATTCTTTGAATATTCTTTAAATAAAAAGATGAATTTGTGCAATTGTCACTTGCTTCTTTGGTCAAGTGTAGGACAAACAATATATGCTACCTTCTTCTGCTTCTTCTTGCGAGCAGACACCTCATAGTCCTCGTCGCTCTCTGAACCTGGTCTGTCGATCTCGCCAGCATCTGGGAAGACATCCACAGCTTCCAGGTGTCTCAGGATATCCTCAGATTCTTGATGGACCGGATGGATGGTGATGCCTCCATAGCTGTGGGTTGGGTCATGTTCTGGGTTGATAGCTGTCTCTACTGGTACCTCGCCTGAATAATCACCTGATTTAGAGGGAACACGATCATTATGAAACCTGTACCAACAAAAACACTCAACAGTGACAAGGAATATGGTCTTTAGAGGGATCATAATTATCAAGATGAAACTTGTAGATAGCAAGCAAGGCTGCTGACCGCTCACAACAACAGGTATACTTTTAGATAAAGATTTTTTAAGTACACATTGTAATAACAAAAACATTAAAAGTTAATAAAAAATGTGCTATATAATGGTAGGTGGTCACTAAAGCAGGTTTGAGAGTATATTACATATAAATTCATCTATCATCAATGACTTACATGTCACTTGTTAAAAAGAATATTTTTACCAGGAATTTGTAAATTACAACCAAACTTTAGTCATAAAATGTTCCCTTTAACTCTAGGCATTTTAAAGTGAGTAGGAACATTCAGCCATCCTATTGATGTTGAACCATTCATCTATTTAATTGAGTAATTGCTTAGTCTTGCTTACTAAGATCTGCGCCTAAAGCTTCAGCAAGAATCCTACTATCTGCAATCTCCACAGGGACTGGCTGGTGATTCTTGCGTTTCTTCCTCCATCTCCTGGATGGGTAGGTATACAGCTGGCCCCGTTCCTGGCCCTGAGCTCTATGACGCTTCTGGAACCAGAGGAAGCAGTTGTTCTGGGCAACACCGGTCTGGGAGTCCAGAAACGGAAGCCTCAACTTCCGTTCTGACATCATCCTAGAGTTGAAATTGGAAGCATTTTCCAAGGCTTCCTTGTAGAATTGCTCAACATCCGTGCTGAAATCAAATAAAAAAAATTTAAAAAGAAATTCAGGAATTTTGATGCATAGACCTAGAAGCATAGAGAGTTGAGTCAATGCTAGTAATGCTTATTGACCTCTAGCGCTGCACTACGTGCTAATAATAGAAATTTGAAATGTTTGAAATGTTGGGAATCAATAGAACAGGTTTTAATACAAAGCCAGGTAATGCAGCTATGTGTGTGCATACCGACATATTGAAATGCATGTTTGTCAGCATCTCCGATGATTGCAGTTTTGCACGTCCATATATTATATTACGGGTTCATAATCATACTCAGCAGTTAGTTTCAGACATTGTTTGTTATTATTGTGATGTTTATTTAGTTATTACTTACCCTGATTTTCGTGAGCCAATGTAAACAGGATTCGACTGCGTTGACATTTTTTAATCAGCTTTTGGTTTAATCTTTGAACGACGAGCTTGACAATAGAGGTCTGAAATTGTAGCCAGTTTTTAGGCATATTCATTGACACTGCACTGTGTGTAAGCGGGCAGCGAGCATCGCAAGACACCGGAAATGTTCGATAATTTCAGCTCTTGCACACCTCCGCTCCTCAATTCTTTTTAAACAGCGCCATCATACCATTTTATTTTCATACAAAACATCGATATACACTGACATGGAAAGATCTAGTGTGATCATGCTGCCACTGATCATCGTAACAGGCGTACGTTGAATGTCCATGAAATTGATTTGCAGTATGAATACTAGCGTTTCATGCTGTTTTGTTGGCTGATGGAATGGAAATTTGCTCACTGCACAAATGTGCATTAAAACAAAATCAAATGATGGCCTACAGCCTCTCTTGCACTAGAAAGTTAATACTATATATATTCAGGCGCGGATCCAGGATTTCTTTGAGGGGGGGGGGGGCCAATTTTTTTTTTTTTTTTGCTCCCGCAAATTCGCTCAGTGGTGGGGGGGGGGGGGGGGGGGGGGGAGGGGGGTGGTGAGCACTAATTTTATTTTTTATTTTTTATTTTTTGGCCGGGGGGGGGCACGTGCCCCCTGTGTCCCCCCCCCCCCCCCTAGATCCGCCACTGATATTATAGGGCCTATATTTTCGAGGCTGGTGTTCATTTCTCAGTTGACCTGTAGTGTAATGACATAGCAGTGTCCACAGGAACAAGTAGTCTATATGTACATGAATTGAATTATAACAACATTATTATATATCATGTGACCTGTCCTCCCGTATGTTGATTTTGTTCTTTTATAAACTTTTTGTTAAAAAACTTACATAATACAAACGGCCAAAATTTGATTAAACCAGGGCATGTGAGTTAAATGGATTCCGCATCTAAGAGGCCCCTTTGAAGATGTCCGATGCACCGCGAGTCTTTTCTCCCCCTATCATAATCCCCTTAATCCCCCTCCCGGAGCGCACAGCTCGTAAATCTCACTCCCGAAACTGAGTGACATAGGGCTCGCGAAATGCATTGTTGGAAATACACATCGGCTGCTATCGACAAAAATGGCGGCGTACAGTAGGGAAGAGTATTTGGTAGGCGACGATTTAGACTTTCTGACTGATTTTGAGGAAGATTTGATTCTTGTATGGGAAGTTGGAGACCAATACAAGTTATGCACGTGTGAAATTCCATCAACGGAAAATCTTATTCGTTGCAGCGAACCAGAATGTACGGTTAAATGGTTTTATCGTGAATGCGTAGGCCGCTCCATGTAAATAGGCAGCATTTGAATACATGAATAGTCAATACACTCACAACATACAGTACAAATGCACATAATCATCCCGATGCGGTTGATCGGCAAGTTTCACAGTAGACTCACAATTTTAATTTTTAAATTATTCTTTCTAACATCAGAAAGTTGAACAAATTGTATTTTAATGCTCTTTAGGTGTCATCAATCGTCACTATAGTACTGCCTTTGAATAAAAATCAGTTGAGTTTTGTACAGTGGTGTTTGAAATGTTGAGAATCAATAGCACAACTTTGAAGACACGGCCAGGGTAGTAATGCAGCTATGTGTGTTTCCACCAACAACATCCAGCATGTACAGCCCAGCGAGCACGGCGGCTTTCGCGTCGCCGGCCCGTACTCGGGGTGAAAAGTGGTGATGAATTGACAACTTCTCACCCTCATTAAACCAAATGCGCAAATATACAACAAAGTTTCATTTAGTTAGTTTAAGAGATAAACTTATGGACTACCTTCCTAGCTATGTAAAAATTTCGGAAACTTTCGGAAAATGTCAATAATTAGAAGAGAACGTGATGATGATGAGAAACTTGCATTCACTCTAACTCACGATTTCCTTGGTCGATTTCGCTGGTTCAGATGGCTACGGCTTCAGAAGAGTTATCCGAGCACAGCGAAAGCATTTGATAACCAATAGAAGGTTGCCTTGTGCCATAAGTTGTCGATTTTGTATTTTTGTCTGTTATAGCTATATACATCTTCAATGAGTATAACGTCATTTTCTCGGTGACTCGCATGGCTTCAAAGCCCTTTTTTTACGACCAAGTGTTTGGAGAGCTTAGGGAAGCAGGCCGCGTTGCGTAACACTTCTTAACATTTGGATCGCCAGAGGGCATTTGTGGTCTGATAAGGGCGGCTGTTGATGGATTTGATGGCTGAAGAGGGTTAAATTACTTGTTGTTAAGCCAAGTTAATCTTGAATATCTTTCCCTTGGGAAATTCTTTCGAGACGGAATCTCCATTTAAAGTCTCACCTCCCTGATTAAACATAATTTTACACACCATCCCCAAACAGAGTTTTTCTTCATCGGTGTAATTTATATTAACAATGTGGAAACTGAAACTTATGAAAATTTCGCTAGATTTTGGGATAAAGCAAATGATGCTCAAAATATACATAATGGAGTTGCAGCACTTTTCTAATTCCAATGAGTATCCAAATCTTAGGATGGACTCCCCTTTATATGCAATATAAAATTAATTCCCTCTAGTTTTTCGTACCCCGTCGGCCTCCTTTCCAAGTTTTTTTACACTGCCTCCCCCTTTTTCAGTTATTGGATATTTCTTTTCTGGAGTTAAATGTATAAGAATTTGAGGATGCTTAATAGAATGGAGTTAACCAAAATAATTAACAATACCTGATGTACTGGAAATAAAATGGAATTTACAACATTTGTTTTTAAATTGAATTGACAAAAATAGCATTATGAATATTCCCTCCTCCTCACTTTTTAAAAATCTAGACGAGATAGTAGATACTAGTAGGAACTAAAATCTTGTTTGGCCTACTTTATCCTGCCTATTGTGGCGATACAGAGGAAAAGGTCTCAAATGTCTCTGTTATTGTTATGCAGAAACCCAAAAGGTAAAAGTGACAGAAACACCAATATGGGCGGGCTCTTAAAAACATGTTCATGGTAATAAAAAAAAATTAATCAGATTTGGGGGCGGGTTCCTTTTTTATCCTCAAATTCTAGTGACGACCAACAATCGTATGTATGACATTTGTCATTCTTTTAAATCTTTGGCTAATCGATTTCATTTGATTACATTTCGGTACGGGAAATCAAATGGTTTCTTTGGGATAACCAACATGGCGTCATCCTATTCGAGTGCGCGGCGCGCCTCGCTAACTACACATCCATATACATACACACACTTCAGTGGCAACCCCATATTTACACTTCATTCAACCCAACACTAGTATCACGTACAACTTCGAAACCCTTCGAAATGGTAGCAAGCGATGCGGTGTAGGCCTACCGTGATCAGTGAAAAAGGGGGACTAATTGCCGTGCTGGTATGTATTATAAGGAATTTGTGCTCGTATATTTGAACTGGATAAACATCTTTTGTAATTTGTAATAATATAACACATTCGGTTTATCGCCTGTGCTGTCGTTTGATTACACTCAATCAAATTTAAGTCGGTGTCGTCTGTCGAGGAGTGAGTGACTTGTGAACGTGAGTGTGACTGTGACATTGTCAGTGTGAGCTGAGGTTGAGAGAATTACGAGACCGAGTGACATGAGTAGATCTATGCGTGTTCAATGAGTGAGATAGGCCTATATTACTAGGCTATAAATTATGTATATGAAGATGTCTGTTAGAGAATTAAGCGCTAGAGGTCTAGTGTATTCACGTTATGAAGTTGTGAAGTTTTCTATCTACCGTAATGACATGTCTCAGATCCTCATTAGGTCTATACTATAGATCTAGATCTAGGTAGATAACTTCACACAGGCGTGCACGCGCTTGCCCGCAACCCACCACAAGTATGCACTGTAGACTACTTGTATTGTGCAGCAGTACTTGTGAAAAAGTGTATACTAATATTAACGTTTTTCCGAAAAATACTCCAAAAATATCAAGTAAATTGACACGAAACAGGTAATAAACATAACGTCTTTTAACTCATGATCTGTATTTAAACATTTGATGAATATTTACTTCACTTTGGATATGTTTTAGTGAGGTATCTCCACGCTGGAGTTACGGTTCAAATTTTTGATAGGTTTCTGAACAAGCGCCAAAATAACAATTGCAAAGAAAACAAATGAGTTTTTAGATTCTCTGAATTTATGCGACTGAGGTGAAGGAACGAATGCTTAAAGGGATCGTTTAACAGTGGTAAATCTGAGATACACGGCCCTACGTGTTATCAGTGTCTGTGATATGGTGTAATATTGAAGCCCTAAAAAAATTGCGCTTCAAAATGATCAGGAAGTGCCTCAAAAAAGTAAAAATCTTTGAGTGACCGGTTTTACCATACTCGTTTTCCCCAATAGACTGTAGTGTTATGAAAACCGTCAGGCGAACGGTTTTCAAAATTTGTAATTCCAATCATAAATATCTTGATAATCAGACAGGCGATTGGCTTGTAAAAGTCATAGGGTTCCTGACTGACCTAAAGGTTTATAATTATTATTGCATCATGAGCTAAATCCAGAATTTTATTTCAGAATCTGAGACAAAGTTACCGGATCCCTTTAATGGGAGACTATTCCAAATAGTGGGACCAGAAAAAATTGTATTTTGTTTACCCTTCTTCGAATTGATGCAGGGGATTTGCAGAAGAAAGGGGTCTGACCTTGAGCGTAATGAATATCTTGATTGCTGGATGGGACAAAACAGGCTAGAAATATAGGATGGGATAAGTTTATACATGGATTTATAAACAAATAGTGAAACTTTATACAGAAAAGGTAACCAGTGTAGTTGTTTAAACAAGGGAGACACATGATCATATTTTCTTGCATTTGAAACAATACGGGCTGCACTATTCTGGATTTGTTGAAGTCTATTGATATCCAAAACATTTATATTAATCAGGAGAGAATTGGCATTATCAAGACGGCTTAAAACAAGAGAGCGAATAGCATGATGGCATGCCTCATCAGTTAACATCCTACTGACCCTAGATATGTAATACAAATGAAAATTTAATGACTTACACAGTGAAGTAACCTGTTGAGACATGGTCAAAGAAGAGTCAAGAACAACACCTAGAGTTCTGACTGATTCAGAGGGCTCAACCAAAGCATTGCCAAGTAACAAATTATGAACATGATCCGGTTAATAATGTCTAAGTCTAGAAGAAATAATCAAAAGAGACTCGGTTTTTTGCTCACTCATGAGTAATTTGTTCTTTATCATTCATACATTAACTTCACTAACAAATTTCTCTATCAATAATATTACATTCTGGAAACTACTTTAAGATTTGGGGTTAAATGAATGAATAATACAAATCATAACCATTATTTGAACAATTGATTATTGATGAAGATTTAGTTGATTTTGGTATGTTTTAGTAGCGTATCTCCTCGCTGGCATTACGGGTCAAAAATGGATACGAAAGTAAACTAGCGCCGGGAATTACATATTTCTACAACTAGTTATTATAAATAGGGAATGTATTCATTGCCTTATTACATGTAGTCTAGGTGCTGTTATCCTATCTTTTCATGTTAATGTACTTTAATGCTTTTTTCTTTTTTCACAGATACTGTATACAAATTTTCCTCTTTTTTTTCTCAATAAGACAATAGACAATACTAAAATTACTACTAGTACTTGGGAATAAGAATCCTCTTTTACTTTTCTGTCCTATCTCTTGACTGTTTCTTGTCTCTTAATTATCATACTATTCACTATTATGGTTAGAATAGAAAATTATAGAGAGGGGGGTATGCAGAATTTAAATTGAATCCAGGGACGGAGGGACCAGTAAATCTAGTCTACTAGCTATAATTGGTTTGGTCAGTATACTAAATTGTAAATCAGCAAATGTCTTTTTCATTGCAATATTAGTTACCGGTAAGCATTTTAAATTTTTGGTGTGGGGACCTGGTCTTTGCCCCAAAATTTCTGGTCAAATCCGGTTCTGCAAAACCGTAATGACCCAGGCCTAATTGTGCTATCAATTGTGACATGTGTCCTTGACAGTCCAACTTAAAGGTCATTATTAAGACATGTCAGATTTTGTTGACATTCTGATAAAAGTTATCAACAGAATCTATTTATAGTGATTGGCCGTGCTTCTAAGCAGAGATGTTATTTGCCAATACAGTTCAATTATGATATTGTTTTGTCTTTGTTTAATGTTGGATGATGTGAAAAATATGATTTTATGTTTAGTTATTGGAGAGTTGTTTTTTGTTTGTTTTTCTTAAACCATATTTTTCATGATGTTTGAGATGTGTTTCAGTTTGAGCCACTAACTAAAACTTTTTAGAGGTTATCTTTCTAATCGTAAGTAGTTAAAGTAGATATTCATTGATTTTAAAAACTAACTTTATTTTCATTACTGCAAAGTTGAAACTTTTATTCGACAAGGTTATCAAAATTCAATGCTTGGAAAGTGGAAACACTCAAAGTAATGATTATTATAACTTAAAAAACGCTTAAAATTAAATACAGCCCCGGCATGGCACCTAAAGAGCTCTCCAATTGCTGCTGAGATGTGTGAGATCACAGGATGGACATGATTTGCACAAGCAGACGATGTCCCATGACATGTCACACATTTTCAGTGCCTGTTTTTCCACCTTCTCTTGAGTTTTTTTTCTTAATACTCCACTACCGTCAGGCTAAATGTGTAATCTATTGTCTCACTCTAAACCCGCACATGGTTTTATTTTGATGACAAATGCTGCGATACAAAAATAAAGGAATCTGTCGCTTGTAGACAAAATAAGACGGCATTGTATATTCAGCTGCACACACAGCAGTATGTTCGGCGTTTCAAGAGGGAACAAATGCCGTCCTTAATATCATTCCGGGGGTTTTTCAATTTGAAAGTCTGGTTTCTTTGATTGTTAATTAAACCCTATCCTGTGTATTTACAAACAAAAGATTTTAGTTATCAGAATCGGTTCCATATCCCCTTTTGAATGGTTTGAAATGCCATCACATTTATATACACTAAACTCATTATAATTTGAGAAATAATAGCTTTGCAATTATGTTCATTCTTTATGGGATGTGGTCTGCTTGGGCAGTATTGGTCCATTACAGTATATGACGTCATTAAAACATTGTTATTTTTCTGGCGAATCTCTTGTATATCCCAGATGCTATGGAGGTGGTTGTATTACAGACACATGGTATTCTATTAACAATGCATTCTCCGTATTTATCCTCAAGTACATGTAAACCTCTATTTACAAAAATGAAAATTTTACCCATCCATGAATTAATATCTTTGGAAACTGCAATATTTATGTTCATACTACTCAGCGATATGCTTCCTGAAGTTTTTAATAATTATTATTAGGCTTGAGTCGGTACGGTCGATCACACCGGGACCCGACCGTTGCCGTCGGGTCCCGGTTTCGTTTTTTGAGAACCGACGCTCCGAAAAAAATAACGAAATATGAAAGAAATTGCAGTTTTGCACACCACTAAAATCAATCCACCTTAAAACTTACGTATTTAATGGTTACCATAATCATATTCTAGCTCATCCTGAATCAATCCGAACTGCTGATAAGTGATATAAATATGGGTTGCAAGGCAGTTCGCCCGGCCCATAGGGTTGTTGTTGCCAGCTGCTAGCTAGCTACCGCACTGGCCGGGTCTCTCGGCAGGATTAATAAATCAGGTTGAAAGAAACATTAATGTTTGAATAATTAAACGGCTTTCTAAAAAGTACTTCTTTACAACATACCGATCGAATAATTTTTAAAAGACAAAAATATATATTTTTTCTTTGATTTTGAACACTGCATGCTTCTTTTAAAAGCTGAAAATTACTTGGTAATCACAAGAAGTTTTGATACGTTGCAAGGCAAGTTTAGACTAGTCTCGGAAAAATGCGCAGTGCTCCTCGTTAGCTGTAATGCGTGCCAGAACGGACCCAAACAAAGACGTGATCGTAACGAGAAAAAAAATCATTAAAAACTACGAGAGCACAATTGGAAAGACAACTACTCAAAATTATTGTAAGCATGTTACATAACTTGGAGGAAGAAAACAATAGTTGTCCAAGAAAAGACACATAAATAGTGGTATTTAAGGAGTTACTATAGGTACAATCATTATCGGAAGGGCCTGCTGCAATATCTGAATTACACGTGTTTAAATTGAACACGAGGCTATACGAGGCAAATACCGTCCTCTACGGTAAAAAGCAGTATAACAAAGGATTCGAGTATTTGCAGCAGGCTCCTTGCGATAAAAATGTACCCAGTTACTCCTCGATTATCACAATTTCTGTGACATTTCTTGGGCGATTATTGAATTCTTTGTCCAACTTATCTATCTGATTATGGTAATTTTGAGCAGTAGTTGTCTTTC